ACTCTCCCTTATTTATCTTAAAATTTTTTATTTAGTTAATTAGTACACTTTAGACATACCCAATGATTGCATTCATCAGAGGGTATTTGCACCTGTATATGATATAACTTGATTTTTTTCCCATTTCCCTCTCTTCCCTTCAACCCTTCTTCCTCTCATTTGTTTGTTGTGAGACAGGGTCTAGCTATGTTGCCTAGGCTGACCTTGAACTCTCCTCAATCCTCCTGGTGCTGTCTCACAAGTGCTGGGATTATAGGCATCTACCACCACACCCGGCTTCCTCTCTTTTCATTTTTTGTGGATGACATGGAAACCACTAAAAACTCCATCAAAAGCCTTCTATATTTAGCTCAGTAGCATAGCCGAATACAAAGTCAACACTCAAAAATCAATAGATTTCCTATACATGAATAACAAACTCATCGTATAGAGAGAAATCAGGGAAACAACATCTTTCACAATAGCATCCAAAAAAAAAAAAAAGCTTTGTAATCAGTCTCATGAAGAAAATAAAACACTTCTACATTGAAAACTATAATACTCTGAAAAAAAGATTAAAGAAGGTATCAGAAAACGGAGAGATATTCCTTGCTCTTAGAAGAATCAATATGGTGAAAAAAGCCATAATTCCAAAATTATTATACAGATTTAATGTTGAGAACCACAAATTCACAATGGCTAGTTTTACATTATTATTATTATTATTATTTCATTAGGAGTGCACCATCCCCTTCTATCTACTAAGACTAAGACTAAAACTAAGCCTAAAGATGCTCCAATCTTTAAATAAAGGGATGCTTCAATGCAAGATTTTCATTAGTTTAAAATCACCACTGACCTCTAAATCATCCAATAATCCCTCTGATTATTGTGTACACCCAATAGTGGCTAGACGGAGTGTCTCTGTCCATCCTGAGATATTGACTTTCCAGTCCCCCTTATCATGCACTATTAAATTTGTTTTTTTCTTCATCCTTCACTGTATCTGTCACACAGGCAGTTGAGAATCTTGGCAAGGTCCCCGATAATTTAATATAATCCTAATCAAAATTCCAACAGCATATCTCATAGAATTAGAGAAAACAATCTTAAAATAATTTAAAACACAGGGTATGAAAAGACTAGACATAAGAAATAATCATAAATGCACAGACCAGTATTTGTACAATTAAGGAATAAAGAATTGTTTTAGAAACATAAATACTGTACAGATCCCCTTTTTAAACAAAGATAAATTTCTCATGATTCCTTAGCACTTATTTAAATTAGATTTCTTATAGTACTTTTAAAATATGCAGACATAAGCTTAGTATAAATGTCTTATTCTAATATGGCTATACAAACAAACAACATAAACAAAGATACAAAGTCCAACAAGAGTAAAGTTGACAATATTTGATGTGACAATTGATGCTATTTTGCTGAAATTAAAACTTTACTTGCTATATAAATGCAGCATGATGCAGATTATTCGAAGTTCAATGATTCATTTCAAAACTCTTGACTGCACATTGGGAAAGATGCTTGATCTCTTTCCATGTGGATTCTCTTGGGGCTTCTGTAAACAAGTGAGTGGATTCCTGGAAACCTAACAGATGCTAAATTTGTGCTTAGAGGAACTGAACTAAACAAGTACGGGTAACTGTTGTAGCTTGGCATAACTGACGCTATCTTGAGCCCTGCATTTAACTACTGCCCTGTATTTGATCCAGGAAAATGGAAAATTACTCAGGCTACAAGTCCCATGAATAAAGCAGAATGAGCTGTACCCACAAGAGAAAAATTAACCTGCCAAAAAAAGAAGCAGGATACAGATGTCAACCAAAAATTAATGTAAGATTCTAGCTAAATTGTTTCCAACAGTATATCTTTTTGTGGTTCTCTATTTAAAAGCTTTGTAATTTTCCAGTTCAGGGTGAGACTCTGAAATGGGTCCTTTAAATTCCAAATTTATCAATTTGGCTGCTTGAATTCCTATGTTGTTTATGAAATCACTTCATAACCAGCACTAGGATAATTATTCTCATATTTTTAATATTTAAAAATAAAAATGAGTTAATAGGCTCTGCTCACACCTCTGCAGATCCTTCAACTTCCCAACAAACTTGTGGACACTTTTGTAAGTATCTCCTGAGACTGAAGGTCAGTCAGCAAATACCTTTATGCCAAAGTTTGAGATACCTGTTTCCTTAATGTTGAAAGTAGTTATTTCTATTTTGCTTGTAAGGGAAGGGAGCTGCAATATATAGTCAACATTGATAATCCCTGGTGTTTGTCCCTCTCCCCCTTTGGCCTTGATTACTATGACAGCTTAGATTCTTCTTTATCCAGTTTGCAAAATGCCCTGGAGCTTAAATATAATCTTTGATTTTCCAAAAGTCTCAGTTTGTTTTCTGAACAGTAATACCATACTGCTAGAAATGTTCTATAACAATAACATATATGCTAAATGAAAGTGTTTCATGATGCTGATCTTTCTCCTTCAAGGTGAAGTAGATCACCAGTTGCTGAGTAACAGCAACATGAAAGAGTGACTCCACTTAGTAAGAATTCATGAAGACAATATGATTTGTCCTGTCCAAATTCTCATGCTTTAACAAGAGCATAATAGGAAGCATGAACACATAAGAATCAAAATAATAAAAATACTAGAGACCTAAACATTACGTGGCATAAAAACATAAAAGAGCAAATGTATTAGACTTGAAACACATACACCTTTCAGCTGTTGGTACAGCAGTAAGTGAAGTGGTGATTTGTGACTACCTATCCACTCTTGTGCTTCAGTAGACCCTGATAGGAATCTTTGTTCTCCTTTGAGGAGGCCTGGCGCTGGTCTTCATAAGTCACATCAAGAGGGTTGGGTATGGTATAGAATGGTGGACCAGGTAATCTGGGAAAAAGGCAGGAGATTCCAGATGAAGGAGAAAGGTGTGAATGTGGTGAATCCTAGAAAGCTGAGGAGATTGAAGACAAGAGGAAGGGGCTAGGATCTAGCTGTGCACAACAGTTCCAAGTATGGCATCATCACCTGTGGCTTGTTCCTTATTCATGTCCAGGTAGGAAGCATAATTACAAAGTTACAACTTGTATTCCTCAAAGTTTTCCCTAGAACTGGGGCTATGGAATCTGTTTAAGAACACGATAGGTAAAATATAACTAGTCTAAAAGTAAATAAGGAACTTCCAGAATTATATTCAGTACAAAATCCAATCCAGCATTCATGGGACACTTGAATGCCTAAAGATAGAACAATATTACAACAGAGTATTTGCAGGAAATGTAGAAAATTGGTAAACAAAATTCCAAAATAGCTTAATTTTTGTCCTTTATGAGATTACTATGCATATACGAAGCCGCTGTCCAGGTTTTTAAGATTTCTGGCAGGACTGACAATCATTGTATGGTCTCCAACCAAAGGGGAATAGAGGAGGGAAAGCACGTCGCCTGCTGCCGCCTTGTGGCAGATTCGTGTAGTTAATGACCACAGACTGAAAGCCAACAGTTTGGGTCCTTGATGTATCAAGTAACTTGTAAAAATCACTTGAAATCACGGAGTCCACTTTGTCTTTAAAGAATTTCTACTTTACTTAAATTATAATGCAGAGAAAAGCAATAAGAGTTTTAAAAACAAGTGAAGTCAAATATTAAGTATTCAGTTAGCACTGGTAACAGTGTTCTCCCATTTTTGAACGAAGAGAAAACTAAATTTTTGTAGCTTTCAGAAAAGATGTTATCTCATCAATATCTGGAGAATATAGTTACTTTGATGGTTAATTTTACGTTCCAACTTGACTGGGTACTTTTCAACAGGTGGTCTATCAAATAAAGTTCTCAAATTTGTGCTTCACCAATAGAAGCGTCGTCTATTTAGAGTCAATTAATTTTTTCTGCGCTATGCCAGGATTCTAGTACCAGGTACCAAAAACCTTTGTCCGTTATTCACCTTCTTACTTTATGAACAATTTATGACTGCCCAGAAGATGGAACATACAATACCAAAATCTTTACACTAGTGGACATACAGTATAGATTGCATTTGCTTTTCTCCTAGCAAGCCTACATTTTGTTTTCAATCATTTGTTTTTGAAAGTACAGCAATCTTTCAGACATTTCTAATGTTTATTGGCTGTTCCTAGGTAGTTTTCATAGTTTCAGATGGCATACAGCTTTTTATTGCTAGGTTAGATTCTTTTCTCATAATTAAAACACAGATACTTGGTTTAATGGAATGAGAATAAGCATTTATCAACTAACTAAAAAACAACGCCCCCAACCCAAGGTCTAATTAGATTAAAATCGACTAAAATTGAGATCACAGATTTCTAATTGATGGTATGATCCTTTTCCTTGGTTAATTTTTTGTCATTCCCCTCCCCCTAAAACACCAAAAACACAAGAGCAGTAGCTGTCCTTTCTGTTTACACAAGAATAGTAGTTTTCAATCTTATTTGCATTTTACACGTTAGGCGGGTGGGAAGAGAGCATTAAAAAAGAAAGCGTCTTTGTTCAGATCCTGCCCTGGAGGAACCAAAACTCCCCAGACGAGTTTTTTCTAAGAAGAATCCACAAAACCCGATATTCCTGAGGGCTTTTTTACTTTCCCCTGAACACTTCTTTTCAAGATAGGGGAGCCAATGACAAATTTTTCCCAGGTGCCTGAGGCTAATCGTCTCCCCTGTAACTGACAGAAGAAGGACCACCCAACTGGCAGTCTGAACGAGTTTAGGTCGAACCAGCATCAGGGAAGAAAACAAGCTGCTTCATCTCGGAAAAAAATCACATCATAGTAGCACAGACCAACAAGTCAACAAAAGTTCTGGGCTTTCCAGCGAACAGCAGCGAAGCTCTGATACCCCTTGAAGTTCTAACCCGGGCAGGATCCAGCCCCGATCAAGCGTTGCAAAGAGGCGGTGGTTCCTGTCTCCCTGACGCCTTCACTTACGTCACTTCCGCCCGGCTGCTACGCGCAGTCCATCAAATAGGATTGAAGCAACTTCCTCTTTCCTTTCCCTTTTTCCTCTCCAAGACCCCGCCTACCGGAAGCGTGTCTGCGCAGGAGGTCAGAGGTGAGATGGGAGGCTGCTGCGGACCACGGTGAATAACTGTTGCGTGCTGTGCTGAGGCTCCCGCGCGTTGAGTTGGAAGAACCAGGTTAGATGACAGCTTAAGCCACCAAGAGATCGGTATGAACTGGGACTCTTCACTCCCTCTGGCTCTGGAGCTTCCACCTCCTGGCCTGCACGGAGCCACGCCAGAGGCCGGGTTCCTTGGACCCCTTAGCATCTGATTGCGGCCCTTAGCCTGCACCTGTGTCTTCTTTTGCTGGAGAGGGCCGAGTATGATTGCTGCCTCCTGTACCCCTTGCCTGGAACTTGAAGTGGAAGCCAAGTAGACTGTAGTCTTGGTGGTGGCGAAGTTGCTCCCAAAAGTAGCGAAAATGCCTTAGCATCCGTCCCGCCTTCTTTGAGCCCTAAAACTCGGGGCGCTAGACAGAGCCCCGAGGAAGAACTCGGATTCTCATCCAGACCTAATCTCCCCAGGGCTGCACAATATAGTGAAGAGAACATTTGGAAATAAGGGAAAAGGGCAGGTGTTAACGAGAGAGTTAGTGTTTTTGAGTGATTAGTTTATGCCTGGGCATTTTGCAAATTCTTTCTGTGATCATACATTGCTTACAAGAATAGAAATTAGTGTTGTTCATGGTTTAGGAACCTGAGGTCAGAGATCGTAACTGACCTGTCCAGTATTAATGAATTAGTAGACGTTTCCCAGATCTTTCACATCTGTAATTCTTGAAACCCTGTAGAAATAATTTCTGTCCAATTACGCTTTTCTTATTTTGGCATTTCAGAAAAGGAAATTCCTGTAATTTGTTTGTAGTCTCTTCACTCTTTTCCTGTTGTCTTATTAACACCTTATTTAGAAACTTAGAATCATTTCAGTATAGCCCTGATGGACAGTTTGGCTTTTCCTTTCCTAAGAGGAGTTAGGTGTGGAATTTATGGATGGATCTGGGTTAAAGGGTTAGAACACTGTTAGTTTTTACATTGTAGGCAGTTTCTTTGTTTTTGCTGTCCTAGCACATCAGCTCAATTTCTGACATTTTTTTCCCTCCAGGATAAAAGCTAGCATCTTAAACCAAGATGTCAGGAGTTGGAAATAAAAGAGCAGCAGCTGGAGAGCCTGGCACATCCCTACCTCCAGAGAAGAAGGCAGCTGTTGAGGACTCTGGGACCACAGTGGAAACCATTAAGCTAGGGGGTGTTTCTTCAACGGTATGAGAAAATGATGCTATGAAAGTGTGTTTTCATTTGTCAGTTGTAACCCGAAATTAAATATTTATGGAAGCCTTTTGGAGTAAGGGGAATTCATATGAAAAAAAGAAAATATGACTTGTGAAGTGTGTGAAGTAATGTGGTCAGTTCTGGAAGAGATGTTTGATTTTTGTTTTCAAGGTGTGTTGATGGTCTTTTGAGTGTAGGGTGCTTCACAGAGCACTGGCTATAGTTATGTAGCAGTTAGAATATAAATGATTCTTTTTCAGTCACTGCAAAATGTGGCACTAGGTTCTAAAAGAGAGTATAACAAAATGATTGAGAATAGTAAAGAGACAGTCTGAAATCAGACTGCCTGAGGTTTATTCTCTGCTCCACCACCACTTTGTAGCTGAGTGGCTTTATATTTTCCTTTGTTTGCCTTTGTTTCCTTGTCTGTGAAATGAATTTACAGTACCTGTCACATTAGGTTGCTATGAAGATAAAACGAGAGTTTCCATTAAGCACTAAAAAGTGTCTTTGACCTAGAAAGTACTCATAATAGTGACCTATTAATTGTTTTTGGACTAAGTAGTAGTGAATAAAATTGGTATCCTTGCTCTTAGAGATGACAAAAGAGTATTATTTCATTAGACTATATATAATATATACAACGCATATATTATAATATATATTTCACTAGAATATATATAATATATATAAACTCATAGTAATGCTGTATGCTTTAAATATCAGGAGCTTACAGGTTTTGGTCTGGTTTAAGATTCTGTATTTTGGAATGCAGCTCTGGAATATGATATTAATATGCTCTCCATTTGTACTACTTATTTGATTATTGAGGCTGAGATTCAGAAAGGTTAATGTTTTTTAGTCTAAACATTAGGAACATGCATGGTAAATTGTTGGTGAAGTATCCTTTTTAGGACTGTGTAGGGTTCTTGTATTCCATTCAAGAGGTGGTTTTTCCATAGCACTGTCTTATATACCCCAAAGGCACTTATTGAAAGGTATTTATTCAAATATTCAAATGTTAGGATTTGCTGAACATCTGTTATTTGCTGTATATTGTGCTGCACACTGAGAACAGCCTCTGCACTTCAGTTTGTAGGGCAGCACCAACGAGGAAATGGTGATAGAGGCCATTGATAGAGATAAAGTCGTGCTCCAGGGGAAGCAGGGCACACATCCCAGTTTGGACTTGATCCACATGGTAGGAAGGAGCTGTTGGAAGGTGTTAAGTAGAGGACAGTAATGTGCTATGACTTACATTTGGAGAATAGATGGTAGAGGAACAAGGGTTATTAGCAGGATTCCAGCGAGCAGAATTGCTTCCCTGCTCCTTTCTACCCTTTTGTCATCACAGTTGTGCTTCTCAGAAGGTGGGAGGTGGGAGGCATGTATCTACTGGTTCCTCACCCAGTTGGCTGAAGGTTGCTTTTGAAGGCAATAACGTCTGCCTTTCAGAGTGAACCTGCATAGACTCCACAGTGCACTTGAAGTGGCAACAATTGCCATTGAGGATGGAGCTGTTCATCACAGCCGTACTGAAATCACATGGGCTTGCTGGACATGTTGTAATGTGTTTGCTGTGGGAGGCCTTTGCAGTACTCCTAGTAGGTGTCCTGGTGGTATGGACCGCTGTGGAGACAAGATTGCTGATGGATCGAATGAGGTTTAGGGTAGATAGGGAGGGTCACCTTAGGATTTGAGAACTGAGTTCCTCTTACTGGATTAGGGAGGAATATGGAGATGCAGATTTTTTTGGGAGCCATGGAGGGTGAATCATGAATTTGGTTTGGTTTTGACAGTAAAATGTTTTATTAGATCCCTTAGTAGTTAGGTATTGGTATACCTGAACTCTGAAGAGAGATCTAAATTAAAGCTTAACACTTGGGAGTCATCATTTTGTAGATGGTATTTAAATTACTGAGAATACAGAGTTCCCTTTAATTAATAAGCATAAAGAAGGAGTCTGAGGACTAAGTCCTGGGATGCTACAAGATGTTCACTAAATGGGGGAGGAAAAGAAACTAAAGTGACAGAACAGTGGATGGGAGAACAAGAGTGGGAGCCTGGAAAGAAATGAAGAAAGCGTTTCGAGGAAGCAGTGATCAGGTGCTGCTGGTGGGCTGAGTGAGGGAGGCCTGAGACTCAGCAAGAGAGAATTTGTTGGGTACTCAGCAAGACCTATGTTGGCATAGTGGAGGAGATGGAAGTCTGATTGCAGTGAGTATAGTATACTCCGTGAGGAGGAGAATTAGTGAAAAGACAATAGACAGTGCCTTGGAGGAGTATTGCATTAAAGAAGAACAAAGAAAATGGGGCAGTAGCCAGAGAGAAATGTGGAATCAGGGCAGGGTTATTTTATTTTATTTTGTTTTGTTTTTTAAATTTGCAGATATTGCAGTATGTTCCTCTATTGATTGAAATGATTTGGTAGACAGGATAAAGCTGATAATATAGCAAAAGGAGGTGCTAGTTACTGATGTGACATCCTTGAGCAGCTGAGGGGGAGCATAATGTCATGTACAAGTGGAAGAACTTAGCCAGGAGCAGGAGTGGTTTATCCCTGCCAGTAAAAAGGAACTGAGGGTGTGGGAAGGTCGGTAGCTATGCTTGTGGGAGGTAGGTATGGGCATTGTCTTCTGATTACTTCTTTTCTTTCAATAAAGTCAGAATTAAAACTTATCTAAGAGTGAGGATGGGGAGGAAGTTTTAGAGGTTTGAGGAGACAGAAAATGGTGTGAAGTCATTCTGAAGAGAGGTATTAGAGAGAGAGAGAGAGTTACCGGATAGCACTGGGAACCCATTTGAATTTGTGAGCTTTGAGTTTAAAATTAAATCAATTAGTCTGATACTTATTTTTTATAGTCACATTGAGCTGCATTGACTTTGGATAGGTAGGGTTGGCTATTGTGAGGGTTGAGGTTTTTTTTTTTTTACCAAAAATATGATAAAGAAGCAAGCAGAAAGGGGAAGGTATTTAAAAGGAGGTGATGCTAATGACTGATCATAGAATTTGTTTGCTAAAGGAGGAGGTGAAAAGTGAGAGGAATGAAAAGCAGTAAAAGGTATAGGACTAGATGATTATAGATTCTGAAGAGGTTGAAGAATCTTCGAAGCAGGAAACAGTGAGCTGGAGAGGTAGGTGGTAGTCATGGAGAATGAGCTTAGAGAGGATCTGCAGGTATAGCTAAGGCTTAGCATGAGGGTCACTGGGAGCTGGGGCAGACAGATAAGATTATGGATGGAGAAGAGGTCAGTACCAAGGCACATATGACCAAATGACCATCTATATGGGGACTGAAATCATTAGAATTATAATAGGTGCAGTATTTTCACAGGTGGTGATAAATCTTTGTGAATGGAATGAATGACCTGGGCATTTACAGATAAGTTCAACAAACAGGATGGCTGGTGGCAGAATCTGTAAAGCTAGGAGTTTTTAGCAGGGCAGGAGGGGTAATGGCTTAGAAGTAGCAGTGAAAAACAGCAGATACAGTCTGCCTCTAGGTGGAGGACTTCAAGGAGTGGGAGAAAAAAAGCTGCCACTGCAGAAGCCTGCAAGGAAATGATGTTCTCATCTAGATTTTAGTTAGGCCAGAAGGAAAAGGCAGTGTTCAGAGAAGGGGTTAACGATGTAGTTTATTAATAGTATAAGCTAGTAAAATGGGAAACTATTTACTTCTTTGATATATCAAGAATGTCTTAATGTAAATGCAAGAGGGAAAAATAGAACAAGAAATTAGTGCTCTGATAATTCTAGCATTAAAATTTATTCATTCCCATTTAAAGTGTGAATGTAAGCCATAAGATGTGCTGTTTCTTTGCTTGGGCTGTTCCACCCCTGGGCCCATCTCCAGTTTGTTTAAGAGAAGGAGCTAGAGAGAGATTAAAGGTATTAAGAGGGTGTGGAATTACTGATGAAGTGAGCTTAATAGAAAGAGAAGAGACAACATCCTGAGTACAGGTTGAGATTTTAAGGATGTATGCACATATGTTGGTGAGTTGTGTCAGCAGATCAGAGAGGTGGAGAGTTGGGGTGTTTCCCATCTGATAACTTTATTTGCTTAAGATAGGAAGCAAAGCCACCTGTGTAATGTGATGTGAAAGAGACAGAGCTCAGTAGAGTTTGGAATTGCTTTGGTACAGAAAGGACATTCACTTATTAAATAAAAAATATTTCTGGACAAATTGAAACATGTGGCCTGGTTAGGAATTCATCTTGTTAAGTCACTGGTTTGTTTGCCGTCTCATTGGGGATAGGAGTGGAATAGTCAGATGACTGGTTATGATCAGACTGATCAAACTCTTCCCAGAGGACTTCACTGGGTATAACAGCTTATTTGTCTAACGTCTTTGTGAAGGTTAACAATACTGGTTTCTTGGAGCAGGAGGAGTTAGACATCCGGACACTGCAGACCAAGAACCGCAAGCTGGCAGAAATGCTGGATCAGCGGCAGGCCATAGAGGACGAGCTGCGTGAGCACATTGAAAAGTTGGAGCGGCGGCAGGCCACCGATGACGCCTCGCTGCTGATTGTCAACCGGTACTGGAGTCAGGTACCGTGTTTGCTTATTTGCTCAGATTTGTCTGAGCAGGTTAGGTCTTAGTACATTCTTCATTTCTAAAACTATGTCCTTTTCTTCTTTCTTGTTTGTATGCTGCTCCAGTTTGATGAAAATATCCGTATCATCCTTAAACGTTATGATCTGGAGCAGGGTTTGGGAGATCTTCTCACAGAAAGGAAAGCCCTTGTTGTGCCAGAACCAGAACCTGACTCCGATAGCAATCAAGAGCGCAAAGATGACCGAGAGAGAGGTGAGTATTTATGGTGATTTCTACCGCTGCGTGTTATCTTGATTTCAAAGTTGGGACATATTGTGAGATTTTCTATTTAAGTGGAAAAAAAGAATGTTAATATTTCCAGTTTTATAATTTTGAGGCACATCTTTTTTACCCCTCTGTGTTCACAGGGGATGGGCAGGAGCCCGCTTTCTCTTTCCTGGCTACTTTGGCCAGCAGTTCCAGTGAAGAGATGGAGTCTCAGCTGCAGGAGCGTGTGGAGTCCTCCCGCAGAGCTGTGTCCCAAATTGTGACTGTCTATGATAAACTGCAAGAAAGGGTGGATTTTTTATCCCGGAAACTGAACAGTGGAGGTGAGGCAAGAACCCGGAGACCAGAAACAGTGAAGGAAGAATATAAGAATTCATTTTATGGGGCTGGAAGTCTATAGCTTAGTGGTAGAGCATGTGTTTAGGCTGTGCAAGGCTCAATCTGCAGCACTAAAAGGAAAGAAAAAAACTCATGCTAATTTGCAAACTTGTTAGTTTACATTAAATTTCTTGGTATTGTAATCTTTACTAATAACAGCTTGACAGAGGCACATTAGTGTTTTAAGAATGCTTCACATTTACACTTATTTGGGCTATATGACAGTCCTTCAGGAAATCAAGGAAAATTTTATCAACTTCTGATACTGTATTAATTAGATACTTCTATAAGTAGCAGAATTAATATTATTTTTTTACGTTAAAGAATCAGTTTTTGGTATGTTTTCTTCTCTCTCCTTTCTTTGGATCTCTTGCTCTGCCTGTGTTTGTCTCTCTCTACAGTGCTAAGGATTGTGGCCAGGATTTTAACACTGAGCTGTAGCCCCAGTCCTTTTTTTTGTTTGTTTGCTAAACTACAGTGCAGTTCTTCTTCCTCAGATAATCTAATAGCAGAAGAAGCAGTGCAGGAGCTGAATTCCTTTCTCACACAGGAGAATATGAGGCTGCAGGAATTGACAGACTTGCTGCAGGAGAAGCATCACACCATGTCCCAAGAGGTGCTGGACTGGAAAGGGAGGATGGCTGTTTCTAGTGGGTCTGGCTGATGTTGGCTCAGGATTCCGAGTCACCTTACTCTGGAAGACTTGTTTTTATATGAAAGAGTGTGCAGGGCAGGCGGGAGCCCCCCGCTCTGAGAAATCAACATCTAAGGAGAGGTTAAAGGAAGAAGGAAACAATTGAGTATTTCTCCTTGACTATATGCCTTGCTTAAAAAGACATTTTAAGATCCTCACCTGTAGGACGGAATGGTATCCTATGGGATTTTACGGAACATAGCAGAGATCCAAAATCCCAAATAATGAGTTACTCCAAATACAACATAGAGGATTAATATTACTAAAGAATGGCTTGATAAAAATTCAACAGAATATGGTATATAGGAAATTCTGCACTGATGATGTCCCAGGGACTTGAGGAATATGAGTTTTTCATCCAGGCTTGGAAAGAAATAGTGCCAAGACCAAATTGTGCCAAGATCTGGCATTTATTTACAAAATTACTTAAAGTAATTGGAGACCTTGTAAGTCTTGTGTGGCATTCCTGGTGATCATTTTGGCTTTGTGCAAATTATACGGTGCTAAAGTGTGACGTGCCATGGTTCAGACTTCTCATGCTGACTGGTAATTTAATCTGCCATTTTCTTAGTGCCTAGAATTTAAGCACTGTATAAGTGTAATCTTTAATGGTAATCTAGTTCTCATTTTAATTCTAAGCAGCAAATTCAAAATGGTTAGTGACTGGTCTGGGGGCATAGCTAGAGGGTAATTGATCTTTGTTTTGAATATAAATCTTTTGTATTTTGAAGCCACAATCTTCACATACCCTTGTTTCTTAAACTCCTTTGTTAAGGTCCATGCCAGGCTGGTTGCATGAGAATTAGCTGGAAGTTTATAAATGCACATTAATTCTTAGGGGCCTTTGACAGGGTTAGAGTGGAGTATGGTGAACCTGTAATGTTTTAAGACATAAACTAGGTGCAACAAAGATGGAAAAGTCTTCATTTATAACCCTTCCCCAAATCTCAGCATTAGTAAGTTGCAGGCATGTTACTTTGCTCATCTTGCCCGATGTACCAGATGGTTATAGCGGGCTGCTGATGTTGCTGGCAGCTGGGAGCTCCCTGAGTTGCCTGCTGGAATGCCTACGGGTGACTTTTGCATTCTTGTGTGGCAACTCACTTCTTCCAGTGAGTATTTTGAGAACACCAGGCAGATCTGCATTGCCTTTCTAACCTGACCTTCAAGTTACATAGTATATTTCCACTGAGTCATAAAGTTTATCCATATTCAAGAAACAAAAACTTAGATTACATTTTTTGATGGCAGGATAGTCAAGGAATTGTGGGAACTTAAACTGGTGGTATAGGGCGTATCTACTCTAACTTGTTCTTTTTTAATATGTTTTCCTGAACACCTGCCTTTGGAATGTAGTTCTCCAAGTTACAGAGTAAGGTGGAGACAGCTGAGTCACGAGTGTCTGTCTTGGAGTCCATGATTGACGATCTGCAGTGGGATATTGACAAGATTCGCAAAAGGGAACAGCGGCTCAACCGACACCTAGCAGAAGTTTTGGAACGGGTCAGTGCTATTTTGTTAAAGCTTTGTTAAAGACTGAAATAATTTTAAGGAATTTTTCAGAAAGAATCAACTTGGATAGTGTTGTTTGGAGAAAAAGACTGGTCTTTATAAAGTCCATAAGTTTGTCTGGGTAAAATCTTTAGGTCTCTCACCAAAGAATTGTTTTTTCTTTTCTATAGGTGAATTCCAAAGGTTATAAGGTGTATGGAGCAGGGAGCAGTCTCTATGGCGGCACAATCACAATCAATGCCCGGAAGGTAAATCAGTGCTCCGCACAGGACGGTGTTCGACCTGGCATCACCTCCTGTACCTACTGCTTAGACAGGTTCACAGGAGGCAAAATGAGGCCAGCAAGTACGGAGAGGCTTGCAGTGTGAAGGATGTGACATTTCTTTGTCTTTATTCTCATTTGCTTTTTTTCTGTTTCTTTCTAGTTTGAGGAAATGAATGCAGAGCTTGAGGAGAACAAAGAGTTGGCCCAGAACCGACACTGTGAGCTGGAGAAACTTCGGCAAGACTTTGAGGAGGTCACTTCACAAAATGAGAAGTTGAAGGTAGGAGACACATTGTTACAGCAAGGTAAAACTGAGCTCGCATATGGGTCCTAACATTTGTGAAGCTGCATCATGGATGAGGAAAAACAAAATAGACAAATTCAGTATCCTTTCATGGCAAGAACTCTCAGTGAATTAGGTATAGAAGAAATGCACCTCAATACAATAAAGAGTATTTACACAGTTAACCTCATACTCAGTGGTGAAAAAATGGAAAAGTTTTTCTCTTAAGATTAGAAATGACACAGAGGGCCACTTCTACTTAACATAGTACTAGAAGTTCTAGCTAGAGCAGTTAGATACGGATAAGAAATACAAAGCCTTCAGATTGGGAAGGAAGAAGTAAAGTTGTCCCTGTTTGCAGATGACATAGCTTTATACATAGGACACCCTAAATATTCCTCCAAAAACCTTGTAAGGATCATAGATGAATTCAGTAAACTTGAAGAATGCAGAATAAGCATGAAGAAACAGGTGTTGCGGTATCCTAACAATAAACTATGTGAGGCTGAAACTAAGAAAATCTCGTTTTACAGCAGCATCAGAAGCAAAATTGTTCTGAGTATATTTAATCAAAGAAATATGAGATTTATACACTGAGTAGATAAAAAATATGTTATATAAGTATACAATGCAATATTATTAAGTAAAAAGGAAACTGTCATTGGTGAAAACCTGGATGAACCTGGAGGATATTATACTAAATAAGGCAGGCACAGAGGTGTGAATACTGCATGAGCTCACTTCGGTATATCGTCTAAAGAAGTGTGACTCATGGCAGTGGGGGCGAGTTTGGGATTTGCTGAGGGATGGGTGATGGGGAGACATTAGTCCAAGGATACAAAATTTCAGTTGCATAGGATGAGTAGGTTCTGGAGATCTAAAATACAACATAGGGCCTATAGTTGATTCCTCTGTATCATATACTTGAAGTATACTAAGACAGCAAGTCTTAAATGTTCTCACCACACAAGAATGGTGGCTGGCTTACCGTAATGATTTCACAGTGGATACATACGTCAAAATATCATGTTATACACTATGTATAATTTTTGTTGATACTTTAATAAAGCTGGAGAAAAAAAAACACAAATTTATCAATATTATCTGCTTACTTATTTAGATTCTATCATTTGCATCTTGCCTGGTTCTGTAAAGGATTATACTAACCCCTAAAGATTTATAGAATAAACCAAGGTGCTCTAATGTAGAAGAAGAGGATAAACCAGGATGAGAATTCAAAATAGATATTAGAAATAAGTCTTTGTTTATAAGATGCATGAAAAGAGTATGTATATACTGTGGGAGCATAGACCATTTTTGTCACTTTTTGCCAAAGGTGGGTCACAGTGGACTCTGCCAAAGATAGAGTCACAGATGTGGCTCTACAGTTTCTCTCTGCCAAAAGGAAAGACAAAATATCAGTGATCCTGCTGATTTTCAAACCTGCCCATTAAAATTTTCTCTCTAAGGGAAGGAAGATGATTCTGGCAGCCTTCTTCATCTCTTTCAAGATAGTTACCTGTCTCTTATAATTTAGTTTATTTCCAGGTGAATAAATGACAGTAAAGATGTTTGAGCTAAAAGAGCACATGCAGCCGAAGTAAAGTCACTTACAGGATTTAAATGATTGAAACAAGGCGGTACTCAGGAGAAGCAGAGCTAGTTTTATTATCATGTCAGAAGTATTTTTTTTTTTGTAGTTGTTGATAAAGAAAAGCAACCTGGCAGATTTCACAGGCCTTGTGCGGGTGCTCTTGCCCTAGCCCCTGACTTGTCTTTGCTTTGGGCCCCCCCGAGGTGGAGCTGCGGAGTGCCGTGGAGGAGGTGGTTAAGGAAACCCCGGAGTATCGCTGCATGCAGTCGCAGTTCTCCGTCCTGTACAACGAGAGCCTGCAGTTGAAAGCACACTTGGACGAGGCGCGAACACTGCTTCACGGCACCAGGGGAACTCACCAGCGCCAGGTGGAGCTCATTGAGGTAGGGGGTTTACCTCGTGCTCTGTGTTTAAGGTTTCTGCCCCATAAACTTTACAATTTTACTCTGTCATGTGCTGCTTGTCTGTTTATTCAGCACGCATTTATATGCAGTAGCTCTAGGTCTTTACTGTGCTGGGTGGTGAGCGTACAAAGGTAACAGTTCCTGCCCGAAGGAGAGCAATACCCATTGGAGTGTAGTAGGTTACAGTAGCTTTGGGCCCAGAAGTGCAGGGATGGGGAGAGAGCATCTGATTTCACTGTGGAGCCTTCCTGATTACTTTGAGAAAGTGAAATGTGACTCTTGAGGATAAGTCCAAGTTTACTGGTATTGAAAGATGGGACAGATGTATTCCCAATAGTAAGGCTGGCATGCGTGAAAATGGAACCTGGTATGTAGGATGGTGTGGCCGGAGCTTATGGGTACGGGAGAGCCGTTTGTGGAAGCCGTGTCTGTTTTCCCAAGCCATGATGGTGGATGGTGGCACCTGTGGCTGGTTTTTTTAAAGGCAGAAAATTTTTATCATGTGTTTTTGTTTCTCCCATAGTCCTTGATGTAGTTGGCCTTTTCATATACATGCCAGCCAAATGAATTGAGTACTACTTTATAAATGTTTCTATACTATTTTACGGCTCAGGTTTTCCAACTAAATTGTCATATTCTCAGAGTTGGAGGCTGTTTGCTTTTTGTATGTAGTGTCTTGTCAGTTGCCACATTTGTGTTTGAAAGCTCTCTTGGTGTTCATTAAGCATTGAATGAAGTGGGACTTTTTAGCTACCCTTTTCTTTTTCCTTTGGCATATTCTCTTCTCATTTTTTAGATCCCTGCAGATCAAATACAAAAACCAGAATACTATAATGTGATGGTATTGCTACATTTTGGTCAGAATTTTTGACTGGTTCCTTGTTCTACATATAGCGAGATGAGGTGAGTCTCCACAAGAAGCTGAGGACGGAAGTGATTCAGCTGGAAGACACGCTGGCCCAGGTCCGCAAGGAGTATGAAATGCTGAGGATAGAGTTCGAGCAGACGCTGGCCGCCAATGAGCAAGCAGGTACAGCTGTTCTTTCTCCGCCCTGCAGGTTGTGTGCTGTGAATGCTGTCCTTGAGAGGCACATCGTGTTTCTGCAAGTCGTTAATACTAACTTAACTCAGAAATGCTAACGTGCCTTAAATGAAATTCTACCACTCAGTTTGCTTCACAGCCTCAGTGTTGGCCTTTTAACTTAAGTGGTCCAGTTTTATTTTCTTCCTCTGATAGAGTAATTCTTTTAGTAATTCTCCCTGTTCTCTAGACATTCCTCGTGTTTTCTTTACTTTCTGTCCTTGTGCCTTTACCCTTATCACAGTTGTTCTTAATACTGCCGTTGCTGTGTTTAAGGACCTATAAACCGGGAGATGCGCCATCTCATCAGCAGCCTCCAGAATCACAATCACCAGCTGAAAGGCGAGGTCCTGAGATATAAGCGGAAACTGAGAGAAGCCCAGTCAGACCTGAACAAGGTAGCTGCAGCAGAAGAATAAGTATTACGCGCTGCTAAGTTCACGAAGGTGTTTCTGAGTGAGCTAGGCAACGTGGTTACTGTAAGCTGCGTACTCCTTTCTTTCTTTGTTTTTGCAGACGCGTCTGCGTAGTGGCAGTGCCCTCCTGCAGTCGCAGTCCAGCACTGAGGACCCTAAGGATGAACCCGCAGAGCTGAAAACGGATTCTGAGGACCTGTCCACCCCGTCCTCAGCATCAAAGTCATCTCAGGAGGATGGCAACGAAATTAAGTCCAAGCGAGACGAGGAGGAGCGAGAACGAGAAAGGAGGGAGAAAGAAAGGGAGCGAGAAAGAGAACGAGAGAAAGAAAAGGAGCGAGAACGAGAGAAGCAGAAACTGAAAGAGTCAGAAAAAGAGCGAGATTCCGTTAAGGATAAAGAGAAGGGGAAACATGACGATGGAAGGAAAAAGGAAGCAGAAATTATTAAACAGCTGAAGATTGAGCTGAAGTAAGAGCAGTGTGTAGAGTTAGCCTGAAGCCCAGGCGTCAGGAATGAAATGAAAGGCAGTGTTCAGCTGGTGACCAGGCTTCTCTGAGCTGTGTAAAATTTACATGTAACTAAGCGTATAATTAATGTGGTCTCAACTCGTGATGAAATGAATAGCCTAAATGGCCTGCCTGGCTGTTGTGTAGTTAGTTGAGGCATTAGGTATCAGTAAATCCTCTAGGTATGGCCTTACTCTTCATGAAATCAAATTAAGAGAAGGGCTATCATATTGAAGTAACACGTCTGAAAATTACTGGAACTTAATTACTGCTGTCTATGAGATTTGGGCCGATTCCTGGCATTAGTTGTATTTTGAATTTACTAAGTGAAGTACGTTTCATTGTAGCTTGAACGATACCTGATCTGTTTCATAGTAAACTAGTTTGTAGGTATGTCAGATCATATTAAGGGACTTCCTAGGAAATCCAGTGAAATAACTATTTTTATCATAACCTTACATGTCACCCCTTTTCCTGCAAAGCCAGTGAGTTCTAGCAGAACCAGTTACTTTTGGCTCTTCACTTTTCATGGTTGACTCTGTGGATGTTTGGTTTTCGGAGGGACCATTATGTTTAAATCCTTGAAACTCAACTGTAATTAAATGGTTTAATAACTTCATGAGAGGCAAACATTATTCTTTAAATGATGAGTAATCAACCATACTAAGATTAGCAGTATATTTTAGACTTCCAAATTTCCCCCTTTTCTTCTGAGTCTCTTTAAGGTAGACAGTTTTTTTCAGGTGTCTTATTAGAACCATCTGAGTGCCTTGTTTAAATATATACCTACTGCCCATCCATACTTACCTAATTTCAGAAGAGTGGGACCACAGAACTTTGCCTATGTCTAAGTGCCATAAATGTGTATTTACAACTTTATACAAAGAGAATTAAAGCAGGAAATGATTCATTCATACAGTTTACTTCTTTTATTGTGTGATTATATCCAGAAGTCTGTTGATAGTCTGTACAAAATTTTGTCTTTTAGGTGCAACAGAGAGTGAAAAACCTTTTAAAATACTCTGCTCAGTTCAGAATTCTCCTGCTCTGATGCTCTTTGTCTTCTCCTTCCATTGTTCCCTTCCCTTTGCAACCCTGCTGTAGAAAGGCACAAGAGAGCCAGAAGGAGATGAAGCTATTGCTGGACATGTACCGCTCCGCCCCGAAGGAACAGAGGGACAAAGTTCAGCTAATGGCAGCTGAGAAGAAGTCTAAGGCAGAGGTAACTAGTCATTGCCGGTCCTTTGATGCGGATCTTCATTTGTGGGGTTTCCTGTGTACCTTTCGAGGATATAGTAGTTACTTTTCTTATTTTTGAAGTTAGTATTTAATCTAAGTAAGATTTTCTACACTTTCAAAGACCATCTAATCAGATTCAAAGATTTTCTTCCACGTAGTAAGGTACATCAGAATTACTGGAAATAGGAGTAGGTTTTGCAAAATCATATTTCCCGCTTTACCTATGTAATTAATTACTATGAGATTTTTTTTTTTTTCTGATTGGTTTTGGAAGAAATGTCTTATGCTTTTAAAACATAAGGAAAAAAGGATTGAAATCTGTAAAGAAAGATACAGATGTAGTCCTCAAAAATGGTGCTCATAAAGGCATGAAAAACAGGAAGAAGCATGTTAAAACACTGTTGCAATGTGGTGTACTCTATCATTTATCATGTGTATACTATTTATCTTGTCCTGTAATTCTGTCAGTGTTATTTTGGTATTATAGGCTGGTCTTCTACCATGTTTATTGATTTTTAAGAAAGTATTACAACATTTATTTCTTATGTGATTATCTCTCTTTTTTTTTTTCCTTAATGTGATTGTTTTCATTCTGTAGTTGGAAGATCTAAGGCAAAGGCTTAAGGATTTGGAGGATAAGGAGAAGAAAGAGAACAGGAAAATGGCTGATGAGGAGGCGCTGAGGAAGATCCGGGCCGTGGAGGAGCAGATAGAGTATCTTCAGAAGAAGCTGGCCATGGCCAAGCAGGCAGGCTTACTTTGTTTCTTAATTGACCTTTTAATTTAGTGTTATTTGGCAGTTAACAAACTACTAGTGAAATTTACTATTTTATTTGTCTTTCTTTTAATAGTCTTCATCTTTTTTAAAAAAAATTGTAAATTCATTAAAGTCTTTCATCCTTCCATTATTTTCTTTTGTGTGGTTGGGAATTAGAAAATTTATTTTTATTTTGAGATGGATAGAGAGTTGTTCAAATGTTGTTTATTGAGGATCTGATCTTTCTTACCTGACCTGGAATTAGGGCATATAGTAAATATAAGATAAAAAAATGGTACATGATTTTATATACATTAAGATTATATAAAAAAAGAAAACTATGGCTCCCTGGTAGGTTATACATAAATAATCAGTGTGTTAACAATGATTGTTTCTGGGTCATAAACTTTAGAGACTTATCTTCCTTTTCAAAATGAGCGTGTATTTTTTTTTTTTTTTTTTGAAATCCCAGTGACTTTTTATTCACATTGAATATTAGAGATTCCAAAAATGATTGGAAAATCCACACATATGTTCACTGTTAATAATATCTGCACTGTTTCTAAGAAACAGCAGAATGCCAATGAGATGAAGTGGTTTGAAAGGTAATTTAATTATTGTTTTTTGTTTGTTTGTTTTGGTACTAGGAATTAAACTCAGGATCTTGCACTTGTCAGACAGAACTTCCATTAGATTCTGTGCACATACTTTGTATACAAAATACAATTTTGACTTTTCTTAAATCCGGTCATGTCTACTTTTTCCCTTTTAAAAACACGTGTTATCAGGAAATGCTATCACTACAGGAAAGACTAGGCTAGGACTGTTTTCCATTTTGAAAATATCAGTGCGTAAGTTAGTGTATTAAAATACTGTGATCCCAAAAAAGTCTTAGTTTTTGCTTTATAATGTTGTAGTGTTTGTTTATTTTGGTACTAGACAGATGGATATTAAAGTGCATATGGAAAAGTAAACAGAAATGATGAGAAAAACTTAAAAAGAACAGCAATGGAATCCATTACAGCTGTGAAAAATAAAGTTTCAATAGGTAAAATAGCTTTTGAGTACTGGACCGGCTACTAGGTTTGAATAGAAAGTCTGGAAATGGATTAAAGTACACATGGGCTACCCCCGTAGTTTGAAATCAGTGAGTGAAAGGATTTAAATGTGTTGGGATAAAGACAAAGCAAAATTGGAAAAAAGATGCCTGTTTGAACATTATACTGTGATGATTTCCAAATAAACTGTAGATATATTAAAAAATGGGTCCGTCAAAGAGGGAAAAGAAAATAGGTAAATTACTTTGGAAATATAAAATGGAGAAGACCTTTCTAATAATAAAAGATTACATATACACACATGTGCTAAGTGTACACATATACCGTGTGTTGCACACATGTACTAACTAAAATTTAAAAATCAGAACACATGAAAGGTTGGTAATTTTGAGATCAAGACAAAACTTCAGTGTAGCAAAAACAGCAGTGTCAATAGATTTATGGCAAAAATATACTTTAAATTCTTGTCACCACAAGATTTATCTTCCTAATACGTTTTTTTTTTTTTTAATTCCGAAAAATGAGGAGAAAAAAAAAGCAACAGCCTGATAAGAGAATAGGCAAAGGTGTGAGTGGTTCTCAGAAAAGATTTCAAATTACTCTTAAACATAAAAAAGATGCTCAGTCTTTAGAAATACAAATTGTAGCTCTTGTTAGACACCATGGTCACCTATCCGATTGTTAGGAAACAGAATGTTTGCAACTCTTGGAAAGTCTGTAGACTAAATTCAGTATTAGAATTGTGGAAAAGTATGAGAAAATGGGAGATTTTGTGACAGAGATTCTGGTAACCAACTGCTGCTTGATCAGTTTGCTAAATTAAGGTATGTGTGATTCCTGTTTGCTTTAACTGGCTTTAAATACAGATCAGCCAAAAAATTGGTGTCAGTGATTTCAGGCAATAGGGCTTCTAAACGTTAACCTAGTGACAATATTAAGCTTTTTACCAAAGTTTCTTAAACTAATCTCTCTCTGTTGCTAAGTTAACTTATATATTGATGGGAAAGGTTTTCCTATGCTCATTCCTTGGATTTAGAAGATTCTGCTAATCAGAGTTCTCACTGTAGGAAGAAGAAGCCCTCCTGTCCGAGATGGATGTCACAGGCCAGGCCTTTGAAGACATGCAGGAGCAGAATATCCGCCTGATGCAGCAGTTACGGGAGAAGGATGATGCAAATTTTAAGCTCATGTCAGAGCGAATAAAATCTAATCAGATCCATAAGCTGCTGAAAGAAGAGAAGGAGGAGCTGGCAGATCAAGTTTTGACTCTGAAGACTCAGGTAATTAGGATGAGTAGAGATTTCCATTCTGTTGGGAAAAAAACAGGGTGGGAATAAAAATACTGCAAACTAAATATGGGTCATTAGGATCCTGGTAATAAATCCTACATCCCTACAAAAGACCACACTGTGGTCACTAAAGTACGTATGTATTTGCTAATGCAGAAACAAATGTCCAAAGGGTATAAAGTAATACCTCTTTTGTGTATTAAAGTGTGTATGAATAGATTTAAAAAATATTTTGGAAGGCTGCAGGAAAACTAAGAAGGGTTATTTGGTGTGGGATGTGAGCTTGTCGGTGAGGGGTTAGGAGGTAGATTTACGATTTTAGGTTTTAGGCTTTAATGTTGTTTCCTTCTACTGGGTGCATTAATTTCAAGAAAAGACTATTTTAGAACTTCTAGCCTTTATAAAAGAGATACATGTGGACTTTTGTGTGAACTAAAATTTATGTGTTCTAGTAGGAGTTGTCCAACTTTAAGAGTTAGTATGTCTACAGAAGATGTTAGAAGTGTGATTTCCACTATGCTTGGCAATTGGGAAAATACTCTTTTTCATTGGTTTCCCATACTCTTGATTCTTCATCTATATTTTATATTAATGTGTGAAGCCTTTAATAATCATGCTTTTTCATCTGTTTTAAAGGGTTCTTCAGTAGAACTCAGTAATCAATTTGAAATTTGTAACATACTGTATTTTGTGGGGATATGGATTATCAGAGAATAGCCAGTTTAGTTTTATTTGTGTTTGTGTTAAAGTCTGACTGTCTCTTCCAAAGGTGGATGCCCAGTTACAAGTGGTAAGGAAGCTGGAAGAGAAGGAGCACCTGTTACAGAGCAACATTGGCACCGGGGAGAAGGAGCTGGGCCTTAGGACCCAGGCTTTGGAGATGAACAAGCGCAAGGTATGGCGGCCACTGTGCGAGCTAAAGTGGCGGGCAGTCTTGAGGGGCAGATAAATGTAGCATAGGTGACATTTTCAGCTTACTCATTCCTTGAACGTGGGATAACATTTTGCTTTGCTAGAAGTAAGGGGTGACAAAGTGGCGTTGTTTGTACATCACACACAGGCGATGGAGGCAGCCCAGCTTGCAGATGACCTCAAAACACAGCTGGAATTGGCTCAGAAGAAACTACATGATTTTCAGGATGAGATTGTGGAGAACAGTGTCACCAAAGAAAAGGACATGTTCAATTTCAAACGAGCCCAAGTAAGAGCAGTTCTCTTTTCTGTACATTTCACCCCCTTGTGAATGAGTCATTAATACAATGTCCTGGGTCCTTCCTGTCAGACTATGAGTTCTCTTAGGAAGAAACTTGTCTATTTTCTTCAATGACATATCCCCAAACCTACATAGTGCCTCCTATGTGGTAGACATATAATTAGGGTGTGAATTACTGAAAATAGTATAAACAGCATTAGGAAATTTAAGAATTCTTTTTTGTCACATCATTTATTTTTCATAATGTCTTTCTATCCTTATTTGTAAATCTTCAAATTATTGTCTACCCTCATCTTAAAACCAATAACTATAAAATAAAGTGACCTGTCCTTTAAATTCTTAGGTCATGTTTTCTTAGGATTGAACTGGCAGTAGTTGGCACAGTTCTGGTATAGGAGTATGATTGGTTGCTTGTTTTGAAACAGAGGAAACATCTTAATCATTTATGATTCTCTACATTCCTAAAGGTAGTTGGAAAATACTTTCTTTCCACAACAGAAAGATTAGGTAGGGAAAGATTGTGTAATTGGTCTGCTGTCTTGACACAGGAGGACATTTCTAGACTTCGAAGGAAACTGGAGACTACAAAGAAACCAGACAATGTACCCAAATGTGATGAGATTCTGATGGAAGAGATTAAGGATTATAAGGTCAGAAAAACTGCCTCAGTAATTTCTTTGTGGTTCCTGTCAAGGCCCAAAGTGACCAGCCAGTATTTTGGTAGAATGAACACTGAATTTCTTTTTGTGAAGGTTGTCAGGGAGAGGTGTATTTTGAGGGCGGACGTGGTATTCTGGCCCTAGTGTGATCCGGCCCGCGGATCAATCCGTGGGGTGTACCTGGAGGGGGAACCGGGATTAGTAGAACAGGGGGGAGACCAAGAGAGATTGAAGCAAGTCGAGAGAATCTGATCAAGCCTCGTTTGTTCAGGAAGTGATCACATCTTTTATAGGCCAAGGGTGGGCTGGTGGGACAGGAAGAGGCTATGGGGATGAATACAACAGGGTCATCGTCACGTCCGGGTATGTGACGTAAGCAGGAGAGGATTATGGTTAATGTAGGCAGGTGCATCATATGCCCATAGGAGAGAGGTTGGGGGGGCAGCAATGGGGTGGTTGTGCCACCCCCTACACTAGCGTTGCTTTCTTGTTGCTTAGTTCATTATACCGTGGCATCTCCATTCACGAACACTTTTGTTTGTGAACAATTTAGTTTGCAAACAGAAGCATTTGGCAAAATTTTGTTTTCATTTACAAACTCTGCATCAGGTTGTGAACATGATGACCACAGCCACCTTTTTCACACAAACACGAATGTGGCTTTGACGGAATTGGGGAATGAATTAAGCTCACGAACCGAAGTACCAGTGTGTGTGACAGCCACTTGGTATGTATGGTTGCTCAGACTCTTGACTTCGTTCTGTTTTAGGCACGTTTGACCTGTCCATGCTGCAACATGCGTAAAAAGGATGCCGTGCTCACCAAGTGCTTCCATGTGTTTTGTTTTGAGTGTGTGAAGACGCGCTATGACACCCGTCAGCGCAAATGTCCCAAGTGTAATGCTGCTTTCGGTGCCAACGATTTCCACCGCATATACATTGGTTGATCCGATTCCAGAGAAGAGGAGGAGCTGGCCAGACAAGCACTTACTCATCACCACCAAACCTCTCCCTCTTCTCTCTGTCCCCTTTCCTCCTCAGCTGCACACCCAGGTTCTCCTCCCGCAGTAGCTAGATGACTTCAGGGAAAGGGACCGGTAAATGCAAGTGTGAGGTTTTAGAATGAATTGTAAACAAACTCATGTTTGTCTTTCCTGCCATCTTTATTTCTTGCTCTGAGACTTTAAGCATTTTTTATTGGGTCCATTGTATAATACTGGATTGTCCACTCCTCCTGAGAAACCAAGCTAGTATTTTTGAGGTGGAGAAGGGAGAAAAGAGGACAAGTGTGCTACTATTTTGGGGAAAACGACCTTGTGGAAATAAGCTACCCATGGCTGCAGATGTTTCTTGTTTGGGGTAGTAAAATTTTTGTAAACTTGGATTAAAAAATGATACAATTGTGCTCCTCTCCTGGATTGTTTGATGCCTTAATGAAATTATATCAAGGATAACTCAGTGTATTTCTCATTTACTAGCAAAGTACCTTTTAAGGTCAGCTGTATTTCTGTTAAATATATTTAAATTTTTAATGTTTAACTACTTAAAGCTTTAAATTTCTTGAGGCCAGAATAATTTCAAACTATTATAGCCCCTTTGTCTTCTAAGGAAATCAAAATTGGGAAAAGATGAACAGGATGGAGATGGTGAAGAGATCTGGATAATCTGGGAAATGAGAGCAGAGAGGTCTGGATGAGCTGTGAATTACTCACTTCCTCATTTCTGCAGGGATTGGGGTGATCTTTTGTTTTCCAGAAGATTATCCGCAATGTTTCCATAGGACTTTATACTCTACAAGCTTCAATTAAGGCAGGATTCCATTTTCTTTTGTGTTTGTGATTTTTCTTTTAAACATTTTTCTTTGTTATTACTAGTTAATTTTATACTTTCTATTTTAGCATGACTTCTCTTGAATAGAAATAGTCATCTTGGACTAAGATGGGCAGCTGTGTTTGAAGTATTTAGTTCTTTGCTTAACCGAAATAGTTTCTCCCAGCTGTTTGGGTCAGTTCTGGGGAGAGAGAATGCCTAAAAGATGATGCTTTATTTGACTTCTAAATTCTCTTCCATAGTTAACCATGGGGAATAAGAGTCAGTGGTTTGTTTTTCAGGGCGTCACTGCCTGGCACTTTTAGGTTGAAGGTTCTAGAATTGTTAGTTTTATAATAACCAGTGAACCAGAACTTTTCTCTCTAGTGTAGGATCATAGAAAGTGGATCCCTCTGGATCTCCCACGTTTCCTGAAAGTAGTAGTTCCTAGCTGTAATTAGTAAGACTTTGATGAATTTCTTAAAGTCATACGATGTGGGTTAAGAAATGAGTCTAAGTGGAACACACACACACACACCACTGCCCCTAATGGGATGAAGCCCCCTTCTCTAGACACATGGGTGCATTCTTTTCATTAATGTAATACTTTGCTTGCTGCTTCAGGTTTTTGTTTGTTTGTTTTGGGGTTTTTTGTTTGTCTTGTTTTTATAGGGGAAGCTTGAGTATAACTTTGTTAACTGATGGCCAGTGACTGCTTGGGCAACAGGTGGTTTAGGTTTGGACATTAACTCTTTATGACAATTGACCGAGAAAGCCAACAAGCCTGTACCAGGGGACGGTGAGGTTTGTGGGATATTGTTGAGAAAAACACTAATCCTGTGGGAAGCTGCGTTTTGGGAAACTGCTGGCATTGAGAATCTGAGGTCCAAGTGAAACAGAGTGAGCAATCAAAGTCCTTTCAAATAATAACCAGAAAAGGACCTGTTTCTTTGGCAATCTATTTCTCTTCTGTAGAAATAGTCAGTGAATGGGCTATTACATATTATTGAATTGTATACCAGATTTCATTTGGGTTGGATGTGTATTGGTTTTAACTTTTTCAGATTTTTTAAAGAAATTTGGAAAATCATGATCTCCCAGGGATTAGAAACTACAAATGTAGATCCATCTGAACTGTAAAGAAATTTCTTTCATATCTGGAAATGAATTTCAGTGGTTATTATAGAAGTACTTGAGGCTTATTAAACATTTCATATCTTGTATGGTTTGTCTCCTAAGTTTTTCCTTTTGTTTTCCTGGAAATTTCTCAGCAATTTTGATGAAAATCAAGTTTACTCTAAAGCATGCATCTTAACTACATGACTTGGCTCTTCTTATTTACTGTAAGGAGTTTTTAAATAAAGGTATGAGGCTATTTCTGTTAGCTACTAAATTCTTCACGAGTTTTCATTGGATTCCTTGTTTTATTCTCTGTGCAAATCTGCAAGTATTGTTTTTCAAGGACAGAAGTTCTGTGTACAGTGATGTGCATGCCACTGGAGTGATGAGTGGGATTTGATACAGTGATAATAAAGAAATGATTGTATGTCTTCTAGACCTGCTAGGATGATGACCCTTGTTTCTGCAGGACACCATATGCTAATCTCTGTTCCCAGGGTCATTTGCTGGTGTGACATGCTTTTACATTTGGTTCCTGAAGGTTTTTTTTTTTTTTAGAAAATCAGGGCTAAACTCAAGTTTATTGATAAACGCAAATTCCATTTGGTCTGAAGGAACATTTTGGCTACTTAGCCTCAATAGAATTTTCTGGCTGACTGGCAGAGCTGACTTAAGACAGCTCCAATGAGCAGACAGAATGTTGATGGGTTGTGTGTATGCTGGAATAACACCATTGTAACTAACTGGTATAGAAATTTGATTTTCCCTTCACAAAGAAAAACTGAGTTTTACCTTATGGAGATTTCTGCCCCTGTTTCTCTCTTCCTAATCTCAGCAAGTGAGGTCTTATTGATAGCATACTTAACAGTTACTACAATTTGACTTTTAAAAGAATGGTTTAAAAATATAATTTCCATTATCTACTGAACAGAAATGGTACTCAGTGAATATTTCCATGGTTTGCATTAATTCAACCTCAGTCTGTTGCCAGATCTTCAGTCATCTGCTTTCTTTCTTTCTTTCTTTTTTTTTTTTTTAATTGGTACCGGGGATCGAACTCACGACTGCCTGCTTGCAAGGCAGGCGCTTATGCCGCTGAGCTAAATCCCCAGCCCCCCAGTCATCTGTTTTCTTTGGATCAGTTTGTGAATTCAAACCTTATTAATTTATTTTTCATTCTGTAAGTGAAAACAATTTTTTCTCATATATGGAAGTAGTTTTTCAGACTTGGGTTATCCTAATAATTATGACTATTTGAAATTTTTTTATGGTTGTAGCAAAAGGAATTATGATTTTGAAAGTGTTATCTCTGTAGACGTAGCCCACGACAGCCTCTTATTGTAGGTTCTTCTTCTTTTTTTCCCCTTTTATTCCTGGGGACTAAATCTGGGGTTTCGAACCTGCTAAGCAAGTGCTGTACCACTGAGCTGCATTCCTGCATTCCCAGTTCTTGTGGGTTTTTTGAGGGAAGTTGTGAGCAGAAATTTGAACAGTAGTGAGTTCACAACAAGGATATGTTTGAACAGTTTCCAGATGGTGACTAGAGAGAGGAATGATTTAAACAGTAGGATGTGAGAGCTGAAAAGGACCTCAGACTGCTCACACCACATCCTTACCCTGAAGATGGGGCAACAGCCTCCAGGGTCACTCATGGGAGGCACAGAGTAAATGGAGACTTGTACCAGGTGTGTTTGTCATCAGGAAGATAAGAAGTGAAGGTATTTTCCAAGTAATTTTGAAGTCTGAAGACTTACAGAAGCCTAGCATTTTTATCCTAATAATTCAGATATAAGTAGGCAGACCCTAGGTAAGTACTGCTTTTGTTTCCATGTCTCTTGAGAATTCCAGTCATACACTTGTGCATCAGTTTCTCTATCTGTAAGACAGTAGCTATGTTAGGAGGTTGCACCAGGATGAAATAAATCAATATGTAAGATGCATTCAGTATAGTGCTGGCGGTTTATTAAATGCTCAGTAAAAAACTCATAGTGTTGTAATAAAATTGAAAGGTTAATTTTCTTTCTACTTCGTTTTTTTTTCCTACTCCTAGGAAAACATAAGTCTTCTGTCCTCCCTGAAATGTAGGCTACATGTTTTTATCTGTGCTTGTTTTACCTCTAGTCTGCCCATTCAGGCTAAATGATGTCATGGCCAGCTCATTCCAGAACATCAAAAAGTGAACTTTGGTTTCTGTTAACTTAAAATTCTCAAACATAAAGTTCTTAAAGTCTTCTAGATGCAAATTGAATTTAGTAGTAATCTTACGTCTTTTTTTCTCTTTCCATTCCTTGAACTTGTTATCCACTTTGTGCCTATTTCTATCATTTTGAGCTGTTTGAGGTTCCCCAGTTCTCTGCATGCCATGATTTCCCTCCTGTGGAACTTTGCACGTGGTGTTCCTTGTAGTTGAGACGCCATTCTCCTCCACCCTATCTCTACACGTGTGTACACATGCACACAATCTTATTTGTTACCACAGCCATTGATGTGTGACTACATCGTGTAACCAGTGTGTGTCCCTTAGACTGTGCTCCACGGGGCCATGAGGTCAGGATCTGCTTTTATTTTTCTATCCGGAGTAGCTACCCCAGTGCGTGGCTGACAGCAGGCATCCAACAGCAGTTGAATAATGCAGCCTTTGCTAGGTTGACAGGTTTATGTTTCTATAAGATTTGACTTTTCAAAAGAATACATGTGAAGAGTGCATCAGGCTAGCAGATGCATGTGGTAAATATGCCAGCAGCCAAAACTGCTTAGATTGTCAGAAACAGCCAGCGTGCCTGGTACTGCAGGGCTGGTGAATGATTTGCAGCTGTGTACCCCTTCTTGGTTGGGTTAGAGAGCAGCAAAAGTTGATGCTGAACATTGTTTTTGTGAGATGTTAGGGGGCTACGGTGGAAATAAATGGATCAGTGCAAGTGCAGTTATATCAGTTGATCTCTTGGGTAGAACCAGGGGCCAGGTTGAGGTAAGGATATGGATAGTTAAGAGAGGAATTCTAACATTGTTAATGGAAGCAGGGAAGGCAGAGATCAGAACTGGAACAACATTGTCTAGTCACACTTCCTGCATACAAACCTACTACTACTACTGTTACTACTTGTGTGACTTCAGGCAAGTTGGATAATTTCCAGACTAGAGGACTTGTTTGCCGCCTCTAGAATACATCTGACTCACCTGTCTGATGAGGCTGGTTGTAATTTTTAGATGAGATCATGATTTATAATAAGTGTCCAGTAAAAATGTTGCCTAGTATAAGGTGTTGTGAGGAGATCAGATTGTGCACAAGTCTCAAGACTGTATACCCTCCTTGTTCACAATTGTCTAGTACTTGGCATGTAAATAAAAGCTATTTAATATTTATTGAGTTACTCAGTGAGAACATCAGGGTAGAGTTTTTAGAAGTCTTTGTGTTTTGGGTTTTTTTTTTTCCTAGAATTTTTCAGATGAAACCATTTTGGTTCTGTTTCATGAAACTTGGGCTCTGAATTTTCTGATAATATCCTACTGTAAATTATACAAAGGAAACAGACAAATGATAGCATGAGTAGGTCTCCTGTATAAAGGAGCTAATGTCTTGTCAGCGTTTGAATCCCCAAAGAATGCCAGCAGTACATCCGGAAGTGTTTCCGTCTGAACATTTATTCCACAGTTATAGAAACCGAAGATGGAAAAGACCTGAGGACAATGTAGTCCATCCCCGAGGTTGTACAAGAAGAGGGGCGAGAGCAAAGCAGCTCACAGACTTCATGCTCACAAGACAGCACTGCGGTTCTTGGAGCGGAGTGCTTGCAAACACAGTGAAATGAAGACACAATGCAAATACTCTTCACAAACCTTATGAAAATACTAATAAGTACAATATTTTCATAAAATGGTAAGTGACAAAAAGAAAAGTGAGGGAATCCTGGATTGGATGGATGGTTTAGTTAAGGAAAAGAATAATCCAGGTGGTGAAGTAGTATGAACTAGAAAGCAGTTTCATCTGAGGACTGGATTCTCTGACTGGCTTGTCATGAGTTAGGAGAAAAAGAGGGTGAAAAGACAGGTCATCTCCCCTTTATTCTCTCTGTAAACCAAGGAGGTGCTAACCTGCTCCTCGGCTCTAATAGACCCCGCATTGGGAAGTCTGTTACCCCATACGACTGTTTTGCTTTCCACTCCTTGGGCTGAGCCCTATGGGGAGCAGCATCTCCCTTAAAGAGTTTGTGCAGCAAGATTCATGAATAATGGAGTGTACCTCCAGGCACATTAAAAATCTTAACCCACCGGGTCACTGTGGCTGCCATATTGGCCATTCCAGTCCTTCTTCCAACTTGTTTTTATCTGCTAGAGGAATTTCCTTTCTTTTTTGTCTATGGCACATACACTTTGGGGCCCTTATTTACACAAACTGAATAGCCCTGCATGTTCCATCTTAGTCTTCCTGTGGCAGGAGACACAGTTTGTCATATTCCAGGCTTCCCAATATCAGAGTGCAAAAGGGACTGAGATTTCCCTAATTTCATGAAATGGGCACCCACCAGGGGAAACAAGAGCGTCCTTAGCTCTTGCTAGTGGATCAAAATACAACCCTCCACATAAAGGATTCTGACTTTTCTTTTTTCTTTTTCTTTCTTTGAACCCGGGAGGGGAGTTGAGAGAACTGAGGTGGAACAGAACAGAAAAGAGGTTTTCAGGGATCCACCCTTTCATGAAATCTTTTTACAAAACACAACATACTGTTTCACAAATTGCAAAATACTGTTCAGTAACTACCATTGAAAAAGCTGTTGTTACTTAACATGAAGACTGCTTCATTTCACCACAAGCAATTATGGTTTTTCTTCATCCAGGACATGGAAGTATCTCAAGCAGTGTTGGCAGCAGTAAGCCTGCCCTCAGCCCCCGCTGCTCTGCTGCTCACTGTGTTTTGGCCACTGTTTGGCTGGGTAGTTCCTCAGAAGATACTCAAGGAGCATGCACTGGTCTGCAGCTCTGTGGATAGGCAGGCAGTCTGGCATCCAATTAGCACTGCTCAGAATGCCTCTGTAGAGAAGCTTAAGGTAAACCCGATATACAAAAATCCAAACTTACAAAACAGGTACATTAAGGGATAATTAATTGCAATACAAAAAAGAGCTATACTTTACAAAAATTCACCTCTGGGTTCCCTTAGATAGCCAGCTTCTCAAGGACAGTCAGAATATGAACTGAGTTACAAAAATGTCCATGTGCAACAGTAGGAGCATGGCTGTGATGTGAGTCGAGGTCTACCTGTACATCAGCCTCCTGTGCTGGGCAGGCATCCGGGTGCTCAGTGCATGGTGCCAGAGTCTCAGGTTGCAGACAGGTGCTGTCAGGGTTAATCTTCCACAGGCAGCTGCACATCTACTTTGGGGCCTGGGGTGAGAACATGGAGGACAGGGTTTTTCAGTGTGAACTGTCCTTTTTAGTTGTTCTTTAGGGTTCAGCTGTTTCCCCTTGCTGTGAACTGCTTGATCTGGGAGGTTGGTGAACTAAATCCCTTACCTGTATCTAAGCTTACCTTCACTTCTAGGTTTTCCCAGCCAATTAACTAATTACTAGGGTGTCATCTAACGCTTAAGGTGTTATCTTTCCCTGGGTAGCTCTGGGCAGAAATGCAGGCATTGTGTTCAGCAATGAGGAAAGAAACTGTTCGGGACACCTTCCTAATGATCTGAATGTGGATTGGCTCAGTGCTGTGAACTCACTGTAGGAGTTTTCAGAATGATTGAGTAGAAATGAGTATTGAGAGGGTAAAGTAGTAATTGATAAACAAGGAAATGTCCTAAATGGTGTCTGGGGGCCATGGTGGATGTTTAGAAAGTGAATCAGCAGATGTGTGCTGAAATTTCTGTCTATCTGCAGTATGTCACCCCTCCCCACAAAGTTTCTTCTTGTATCTTCCTGTGTTTGGGGGCAGCCAAACGTCCAGAGCAGCCTTTCTCTAGGAGTAATTTTAGGATGCCCTATGTGTGTCACAGGTGTGTGGGTTAACACTAGGTTTCTCAGCCTTCCGCCAGAAGCTTTCCTCCTCTATTCTGTTTGGAAGAGTCCTGGCAATTAGCACCCTGAGAGTCCCTTAGATGACTCGTAAGCATGCTGATCTTTGGGAACTGAGGTTCTAGAGTTCTCAGTATTCCTTCTCATTCTGCATCCCTAAGCAGCTGTACTTTGGGAAAGGGATTTCTACACAGAGTGAAAGCTGGATTGTGGGCATTAGATAGGGCCTGGAGGATGAGAGGACCCAAAACCTATGCTGTACATAGCTCCTCAGAAATGAGAGGGTGTGCGGATTGGGGATTGAGTCGGTGATTACTGTACAGGTATGAAAAGCACAGGGCAGACTGTTGAAATTCGTGATGTTCACAGACTCATTCACTTTTGGGATCCTATGACAGACTGTTGATCTGAAAATGGCCTAGTATGTGGCATGCAGAATACTTAACCCATAGTGGCGGCTCACCTACTCTGTTATAGGCAATAAGCAGGAATGTTCCAGCTTCATCCTGTGCTCACAACCTCACTTTGCTTTTCTCTCTCTCTCTCTCTCTCTCTCTCTCTCTATATATATATATATATATATATATATATATATATATATATATGGCACACGCTATCCTGGAGATGCTTAGCTAAATTAGAAATGTAGTTTTATTCATTCTTCAGCCAAATTGCCTTTCTGGCCCAAAATTTTGTTCTAAAAGTGTGAGGGTGCGTTTATAATGTCTCTCTGCCTGTCCTCTGTTCTGCTCACCACTTCCCTGTCCCCTTTCATAGTGGGGTGTAAACATGGTCCTACTGTTAGGATGGGGCCAGGGATCCAGTTTTTTCAAGAATGTTTCTCTTGCCTGATCCATTCAATCCATGCCTGCAGCAATTTTGAGTTTGGTTAGATTTAAGTATCCTTAGTTCCCCAAGTTTCTCTGGTTGCTATTCTGTTCCTCACTCAGAAAGTAGAACAAATCTATATTGAGAATTGTGTTCATAACCCAGGATAATCCTATTCTAAATTAAGGTTAGAACCAATTATTTAGTAAGACAAAGATGTGAGTAACAATTTTATCTTTTGTTGTTAGTGCAGAAAAAGGGCTAACAACCAGAAATATTACTGTGGCACCCAGTGAAAAAATTAACAGGATCTGGAATTTGAGGTTCACAGATACCTTACATGGAGTTTACCTTTGACCAACTTCAGACTCCTGCTATGAAAAAGATGTCTACCCTGGAGACCTAGGTGGGGTGAGCTTGGGAGCAGCTGCTGCATCATGGGAGGTTAGGGGAGCAGACTTAGAGACCCAGACCTCAGCTTCCCCCCACCTTTGTCAGTCATTACAAAAGAGCATTGTAACAATGTGTCTCAAGGGTTCAGGAATGCCAGGAGCTGACAACAACAGGAAGCAATGTGATTGCTTAGGACTCACAAGTCCGATTTGTCCTTTGATATTCTTCCAGCTCCGTTTTCCTGCTCACAGCCAACTGCAGCTCCTGGCGGATCACTTGAATCTGCTTTTCAAGCTCTGAGAGTTCCTGCATCACAGAGTTCCGAGCAAGGTTGAGGGAATTGGCTTTTCCATTGGTGGTCACCGTGGCCGGGAGCTCTCTTCTCGCGGGGAGAGGGATGTCTTGGTGGGTCTGGATGCCCAGCTGGTTTGGTTCTCCTTCATCACTGAAAATGTGTTTTCGTTGGTTGTCATGACCCAAACTGGAAGTATTCCATACCATGAGCTGACGGGGTCCCATGTTGGTCCTAGAAAATAAGAGAGTCAATTCAGATTCACATCCCATTTTGCAGCTCTCAAAGTGCTGTCCACTACCTGTTGAGCACTTTTTGCAGAGACAGAATGAAACTGGATATGGGCTCAGAGAGGAAGTCACCAAGCCATGGATTGACTGCCTGCTCCACTGTCACGCACATAATAGAGTCTTATCAAGTCTTACGCTATTTTGAAACTGGGATTTGTGTCATTTGGTAAAACAGTTCCAGCACATTCTTTTAAGAGGAACCTTAAAAGCTTTTTTATTTCCTTCTTTCAGGCAAAGCTTAGAAAGCAGCACTGCCTTGGGATATCCATTAGCTGTAAAGTGTAAGAATAAAAAATAGGTTTATTTAGATATTATACTCTTGGCATCAGTCTGCTGATGGAGATTACTGTATAGGGCTTGTGTTTAATTCCACCAAGCCTCGCTGATGCTCACTACTTGCTTTTGGGAAGAATAAAAGTATATAAGCCACGGATATCAGCAAAGTGTTTTTAGTATAGGAACAACTTTATGCAGATTGAAAATAACAAGTCAAGTCGGATGTTTAAAAACCACCAAAAGTCCACAGGTTCTTGCTGGGATAATGCAAATCAAATATAAACAGGAATGTAACCCTCTTTCAGGCTGATATTGTAAACTAATACCATCACAGAGAAGTGGCTGCAAAGAGAAAGTCATTGCCAGCTAAGTGCTGGACACATTGATTTTATTTTTGAAATGCACTTTGTAAGATGGATGCAGTGAGAGGAGTTTCTCATGAGATAGATAAGTAGCTGATTTTCTTCTCCCCTGTGAGAAGAAAGAAGAGGAAGAGGACTATGGCCACTTTGCAATCAACCACAGCACACTGGAAATGCTCTATTAAATCCTTGTATTTTTGAACTGACTTGACTTTATTCCTGAACTTTTATTGGCCAGAAAGAGAAGAAGAGGAGGACCTGGAAGGGCCAAGGGCAATGGGACAGATAATAAGGTTGTGATACAGTTACATGGTTGGGAAACAAACCACAAAGACTTACTAGGCTGATTCTGTTTTGCTTTGCCCTGTGGTAGATTGCAAAAATGGTCTAATCTTTTATTCCTCCTTTTACCCATGCCCCTCTGTAATGTGACTTTGCTGCTCATCCCTATCAGGATGCAGAGAGTACTTACTCTCTCCTTGAATGACATCTGGTCTCATAACTTGTTTGAGGCTATAGAAAAGTTGGAAGTTCCAAGCCCAGACTTTTAAGAAGCATTGTACTCTGCCATTCTCTCTCCTATCCCTGCTGCTACAGTGTGAACAAGTTTCCTTTAGTTTGCTGATGATAGACCATGTGGAAAGTCTTCTGTCTTTCCAACTGACCTGGCTGAGGCTATCATAGACTAGATAGTTGTTAGCTGTTAGCTCCCTTCCCAAGCTGTCATGCAGACATGAGCAAGCTCACTCTAGTTCAGCTGAGAATGGCTCAGATCAGCAAACAGCACACGATGGATCCTTAAGCGTCCCACTGTTGCTGCAAACACTAAGTCCGGGGTGAATTCTTACAGCAAAAACCAGTTGACAATTTCGTGGGGCTATTAAAACACACAAACTACTACTGTGTAGATCTTCAACATTTTTCTTAATTTTTCCTTAGATAAACAAGCAGGGCACTTGAATTTAGTTTTCCTATATTCGGGGCTGGGTAAAAGTTTTATAATGAATCTGCTTATAGCTCCACTGGCTTTAGAATAAAATTGGAGAGAAGATAAAGTAATTCTTATAGCCTTACAGTTCTCTTCAATTTTTCACATTGAATCAGTCAAGAACTATATATATATATAAGTCTCTTTCAACAACCACTTTCTCTGCATTCAAGAAAAAAAAGTTCTGCCCTAATTTCTCCAAGTGTTTCCTCAAGCTCATTGCTAATAACTTATTTATTCTTTCATTCATTCAGTAAATATGGAGCATAGAGGAGGGTGTCAGTTCGTAGCAGGGTGAGCATTTGTTTGCATAGATATGCTTCCAAGAAAAAGCAGAGAGCATTTTAAAGCCAGCAGACATAACTTGCACCATAGACTGATGATCGATAGTGGGGAAAACCTGAGAGCAGAGAATCTAGCCATTTACTTGGACCCTCTAGGGAACCTCAGTGATCATCAGGTAAGCAGAGCTAGCCAGTGTGGTATTCTCCAGAGCTTTGGATATCTACCTGGGAACATAATACTGAAGAATAAGCAAGAGCTGGATTCTTTCATGACAAACTGTAGTTGTTAGCATCACCATGCTCTAATGACTGATGTGTGCCTCAAGGTGACAGATATTGAATCTTAGGGTCTAATGGGTGGAATAAGTTTGATACTCTTGGCTTCCGTAATGTTTTGGTTGTGTTTTATATCAAGCATCCTGTAGTCTTAAGCGTATAATGACCAATCAGTGACCAATATTTCGTACTAAAAATGATCAAAATTGGCACCTACAAAGCAATTATGGAACATTGAGGTTCAGTGCTTCACTGCATGCACTGTTTAAAATAAACCTGGCAGCTATGACAACCCCCAAGACTTATTATGTTTGAAGGGTTGTAGGTGTTGGATTATAGGGAGGTGGGCACAGGAAATGTAGGTGAAAGGCACTAATACCTCTCACAACGGAAGAAAATTGGAAGAGTAACATGATTTGATTTCATTGTATCTCCTTGAGAGCTACTGCAGTCCCATTTCTCTAGGTTGAAAGTTGACTGAGCAGACACATTTGGCTCTTATTTATTGGTGCTGGGAATTGAACAGATGACCTTGTGCTTGCCAGGCATGTGCTTGTGCTGCTGAGCTATATCCTCAGTGTTGGCTCTAAATTGAAATAAGATAGATGTAAAAATCATATCTCATTTGAAATAGGATTTTCGGGCTTTCCATTTCTCTTGTTAGAAAACAAGTATTTTGTCATTGTAAGATGCTATCTTTGCTGGAGTGTCTTCTTGTCTTCCTCTGGCTCAAATTTATGTTAAAAATAATTATAGCCAAATCTATGTAACATGATACAGAACAGCTGTGACCTGATTAGTCCACAGCTTGTCACTAGCTGATTTGCAGAATGATACCAGGATGCCACAGACTGAGAGGAGGCAGGGAGCGCCCACTGACTAGAAAGAGAGGTTTTAAGACACAATGGAAATAATTCTGACAAGCTCTGTGTAACCTGGAGAGAAAGGACTGCAGCAGCTCTAGAAGAGTTGTAAGCAAAGAAGACAAATGTCATGTTGTCTGCCCCCTTTTTATTCTGCTCTAAATGAGAAGTTTGAGTGTCAGATTTCAAACCTACTCAGAGGGCCAAGCTTTGAGCTGAGGCTATGCCACAGATGGCTGAGTTGCTACAGCAGATGCCCTCCTCTGAGGCCTCTGGGCACATGAGAGGACTAGGAGAGCTGCCTAGGACAGCAGGCAATAGAGGCCACCGGGAGCCAGACTGAGGTGCTTTTATCATCTTCAGTCACCACGAATAAGATGGCCACTATCCACAGGCTGGCTATGGTGAAGGTATAAAATTTGAATTTTTAAATGTCACTGATGTGTTTAATGGATGTTATTTCCAGTGTATAAAGTGTTCTTTTATAAGGGTTTTGAAGAGTGTTAGGAATAGATTAGACAGGACATGTGTATCACTTATTTCAAACATTTCTAGGAGTGCTGGAGAGGAGTGGGGACTGGAAACCTGCAAAAAAAAAAGACAACAACCCATAAAATTAATTGCCTAAAACACTCATCAATTATTACTTTGTATATAGCGATAATTAATATTTTTAAGATTTTCAGTACTTTTATGTGAATTATTTCATTTAATTCATACAATAGGTGGGTTCTGTTTTTTTATGGAAGTGAGGATGGAGCCCAGGGTCTTTGAACTGAGTCATATATCCATAACTTTTTATTTTGAGACAAGGTTTTAATAAATTGGTAAGTTATCCAGGCGAGGTTTGAACTTGTGATCTTCTTGCCTTAACCTTCCAAAGTGCTAGAATTACAGACATGTGCCACCATGCCTAACTGTGGGTACTGTTTTTATTTCAGTTTACCACATGAAAAACTTGAAGCATAGAAAGGTTAAGTAACTTCCTCAAAACTTCACATATTATAGGTGTTGGAGAGATTGAATATATGATGCTCCATCCGGAGTCCATACTTGGATTTGTAACCATAAGATTATTTTGTTTTTGTTGCATTTCAGTGTTTATGTTTATATATGTTTATATTTTATATGTTTATATATGTTTATGTTTTACTTTGTTCTGTCTGAAACTACATGTGTTTATATTGATTTTTATCACAAATTTTCCAGGTTTGATCTGAATCACTATTTAGGCATAACTTCTCTTTTGAGCATAGATTCCAGCTACATTCCTAAACTTTTATTTTTACCTATACAAAGACAGGGAGCATTGACCTCTTCTTACCTCTTTTCCACATGTTTGGACTTGAAACGCTGCTGCTTTTCTTCTACATATGACGTGTTTAATGCTCTATGAAATCTCTGGTGGAAAGAACAGGTTAAAAAGTAAAGATCATTAGATGGATCAGAGGACAAAGTACCACTTGAGATTGAATGGAATCTCTAGTTGCTGCAAACCTTAGCCTCTTTAACCAAATTCTGGGGTTTTCTGATAATGGATCAACATTTATCCTCTAATCTCTATAAGAAAAATTCTAAGTTATTTTTCTCCTGGAAGAAAAGCAAAGTGATCTGGTATAGAAATGTGATAGAAGTAGTATCATAACTCATGCATAGCAAAAGTCTTTATGTAATTGCTCCTGCAGAGTCAAAATCTGAAGTGTGAATTTCTTGGTAAGCAAGACTAAGAAGGGAAGAAAACTCCTGAGAATGAATCATAGTATCATAGAACAGAGAACATTTCTGTCTGCACAGTTTTTCCAGGAGATGAAAATAGAAAGAATAGAATTGAGTTACAACTAAACCAACGTGAGTAACATATCTAGGGGGGAAAATGTACCGCACTAAAAAAGCAAGGAGGTCAACAAGAGGATAAACGGGGGGGAAAGTGGCACATCTGGCAGTCTTGCTGCTGAGAGGTGACGCACAGCTTACTGGAAGGCAGGAAGGATCCCTTGCTGGGGAGCTGAGTTAGTGCAGCATCCACCTGGCTGTGGTGAGGTGAAACCACTTTTTTACTAGAGAACCTCCATCTAAGGTACCTCACCCCACTGGCTCTCCATGCCTATTTACTGCAGGGAGAAATGTGCAAACTAGTGTGCCTGCGTGTTCAGTTTGCCAACAGTTTTGCTTCCTTCTATAAATCCATGCGTGTGTTGTCTACATGGGAGAATGGAGATCCGATGTGGCTTGTCCTTGGCTATGTGGGGCCTCACACCTCAGAGCCAGAGAAAAAGAACAGGAGCAGATGGAGTCACCTAAAGGGAACAGGAACTTCAAACTCATTCTATATGTGAACTCATTTACTGGGTTTTAATTATAACAATAACAGAATCTGTGGGGAAAAGGATTTCATAGCATCTCTTCAGGTTGTCACTATTAAGTGAAATCTGATTAAAAATGGTTCTGTTGTGGCTATTATGAGCATCAGAGGAGGTTTTGGGGAGCAGAAGGGACAGTGGGATAGCATAAGAGGAAGGTGAATTCATGGAATAGAGTGGTACCTATGCTACACTCATGGCCTTGGAAATGTACCAAGAGAAGTCTGGTAGCTTGCCATCTGTCAGTCGAAACTGTTTCTTCTCTGGGAATTCTGAAGTACGTGAATGTTGGCACGCAGGAGTTGAGCACTCACCTGACTGGTGTGCAGCCAGTATTGCAGCTTGGATTTGTTTTTGATTCGCGGCAGCAGCAGCCTGTACACTATGTGCTCACCAATGGTCGTCAAGATGGACAGACCGAATCCGATGCACAGCAGCACAAAAAGTCCAGAGAAATGTTTGATGCCCATTTGCAAGGTCTGTGACAAAGCAAGAAAGGCCATGAGTGTGGTGATCCAAGTGGCTCAATGTTTATTTGCTTTCATTGTTAGGCTAAGATTTTTCTTTTCTTTTTTTTTTTATTTTAATTTTTATTTGTACCGGGGCTCAAACTCATGACTACCTGCTTGCAAGGCAGGTGCTTATGTCGCTGAGCTAAATCCTAGCCCCTAAGATTCCTTTTTCCAGACCCAAGGAGAACTGGAGACTATTCCTACCTATGTGCTCCTTGGACTGCACTATTCCTCACTGGAGCGCTAGGCACGTGTTAATCTCACTGAACAAACAAAATCCCTGGAGCTGTGCCAAGACCTGGAGTGTGGACAACCATATGGGGAGATTGAGAGTGATAGTGAGTGAAGGGAAGAGAAGTTGAATCTATTAAAACATTAATATGTTAAAATGTAATATATTAAAACACTAATATAGTCAAGTAAAATTTAGTGTGTTAAAACATTGAAAAGCTATAAAGGAAAAAGCCTCTCTCAAGGCCAGAGAATGAGTAGATTTATTTTCAGGGGAAAAGATAATAAGTTTAGTAATTGTGGAATTTTTTAATTTTTAAAAAAAATTTTTAAATTTATTTTAAAGAGATTAAGACAAAAGAGGACAGAACAAAGCACATCAGAACAGAGCAATGTAAGCAACACAGCACTCCACCACAAGACAACTGGGTATTAACAGTAGCTATGATAATGTCTCTCTCTTTGAAATAGTTGAGCATACCTTCACTTACAATAGTATCAAACATAACAAAATAGTATAAAACCATTCAAGAGAATTAAAGTATTGCAGGGCATTCAGAACCAAATAACAGAAAATGAATAATGGCTATTGTATTATCTCATTTTCCATAAAAATTTGTTTTTACTATCACATATATTAAAATCCAGTAAGACACAGCATGATAGAACCAATGGAAACAGAAGAACAAAAGCATGGTAGGTCTTCAAAGCAAGATGATATTAAATCAGCAATGGCTGCCATAATGTCTTGTTTTCATCAAAATAGCTGTTCATATCATCACACATAATAAAATTAAACAAAACAGAATAAAACCATTCTAACTAATGAATGAAAACATTATAAGGCTTCAAAGCAATGTAATGGGGAATGATGATTACCAGAAAGTCCTATGTACTCTTACCATTTCTTACGTTAGGAAGACTATACAATATTTATACATGTGAGTTTGATTTATTTTGCTTATGAGTATGGTTTCAAGTTGCATCCATTTATTTATAAATATCTCAATGTGATCATTCTTTATAGCTGAGTAGCACTCCATTGTATAAAAATACCACAACCTTTTTATCCATTTCTCAGGTGATGGACACTTAGATTATTTCGAAGATCTGGCTATTACAAATTGTGCTGCTATAAACATGAGTGCACATCTATCATTGTGGAATGATGTTTTCAGTACTTCTGGAAATATGCCCAGAAATGGAATAGCTGGGTCAAATGGGACTTTCAATCCTAGCTTTTTGAGGAATCTCCAGACTGACCTCCACAGTGGTTGCACCAGGCTGCACTCCCACCAACAGTGCAGAAGATTTCCTTTTTCCCCTCAGCCTCTCCAGAATTATTTGTTGGTAGTTTTCTTGATCCTGGCCATTCTTTCTGGAGTGGGATGGAATCTCAGTGTTGTTTTAATTTGCATTTCTCCAATGACTAATGATTATGAACATTTTTTCATGTATTTATTTGCCATTTGTATTTCTTCATCTGAGATACCCATTTTTGGACTGGGTCTTTGAATTTCAGGGGTCTGACTTTTTTTTATTTCTTTATATGCTCTAGACAGAAGCCCTTTTTCTTTCCTTTTCTTTTTTTCTTTTTTCTTTTTTCTTTTTTTTTTTTTTGTCTTTTTATCGGTAGCAGGGATCGAACTCACGACTGCCTGCTTCCAAGGCAGGCGCTTATGCCACTGAGCTAAATCCCCAGCCCCAAGAAGCCCTTTTTCTGAGGGGCAGTTCACCAAGATTTTTTCCAAGTTTGTGGATTTTCTTTTCACCATGCTGGAGATTTCTTTTGATGTGCATAAACTTTTTAATAAAGACATGATCCCAGTTATTGATTCTGAGAAGTATTTCCCATGTGGTTTGACCTGTTCATGAGTTCTCTACCTACCCCTATGTCTTCAAGATTTTTACCTAATTTGTCTTCCAACAGATTTAGTGTTTATGTTTTAATATTTAGCTCTTTGATCCATTTAGATTTTAGTTTAGTACATCGTGATAGGCATGGGTCTAGTTTTAGTTTTCAGCATATGGAGAGCCAGTGTTTCCAGAACCATTTATTAAAGAGACTATCATTATTTTAGTGAACATGTTTGACCCCTTTATCAAAGATAAAGTGGTTGAGTGTGTTTGTAGTTATGGCTGTATCTTCTAATCTATTCCATTGATCTTCAGATCTGTTTTTACTCCAGTATCATATTGATTTTATTAAAGTAGCTTTATAGTATAATTTCAAGTCAGGGATTGCAATTCCTCCTGCCTTGCCTTTGCTGCTTAGAATTGCCTTTGCTATTCTAGGTCTCTTCTGGTTCCAGATGAATTTTAGGAGTGATTTCTCTAGATCTATGAGGGATGCTAGTGGTATTTTCATTGGGATTGCATTGAATCTGTAGAACAGTTTGGGGAGAATGGCCATTTTCACAATATCTATCCTTCCTATCCATGAACAAGGGATGTCTTTCCATTTTCTGAGATCCTTTTCAATTTCTTTTTTCAGAGTATTACAATTTCCCTGTATAGATATTTCACTTATTTTGTGAGATTAATTCCTAAGTATTTCATTTTTTGGATGCTAGTGTGAAGGGTGTGACTTCTCTTATTTCTCTCTCAGTGTATAGGAATGCTATTGATTTTTGAGTATTGACCTTGTATTCAGCTACATTACTGAATTTATTTATGTCTTTTAATGGCATTTTGGGGGATTTCTATGTAGAGCATCATGTCATCTGCAAATAATGATAAATTAACTTTCTCTTTTCCTATCTTACTCCTTTTATTTCTCTCTCTTGTCTAATAGCTCTGGTTAGTATTTCCAGTACTTTGTTGAATAGGAGCAATGATGAAGGACATCCTTGTCTTGTGCCTGATTTTAGGGTAAAGGCTTTCAGTTTTTGGTCATTTAAAATGATGCTGGCTGTTGGTTTGTCATAGATGGCCTTCATCATATTGAGGTAAAGACAATCTATTCCAATTTTCTGTAAGGTTCTTATCATGAATGTGTGTTGGACCTTATCAAAAGCTTTTTCTGTATCTATAGAAATGATCATGTGATTTTTACTTTTGGCTCTATTGATGTGGTGAATTACTTTCATTGATTTACATATGTTAAACCATCCCTACATGCCTAGGATGAATCCCACGTGGTTGTGGTGTATAATCTTCTTGATAATTTGCTGCATCCTGTTTGCCAGTATTTTATTGAGAATTTTTGCATCGGTGTTCATTAGGGAGATTGGCCTGTAGTTCTCTTTTTTAGTTGGGTCTTTCTCAGGTTTTGGAACTAGAGTAATATTTGTTTCCAGGAATGACTTAGGAAGGATTGCTTCCCTTTTGATTTCATTGAAGAGTTTGATGAGTATAGGCATTAAGTCTGCTTTGTATTTTATGTAGAATTCCACAGTGAATCTGTCTGGGCCTGGGCTCTTCTTTGTTGGTAAAGACTTAATTACATTTTCAATTTCATTAATTGAAATTGGGTTATTCAGTAGTTTTACATCTTCTTGACCCAGCTCTCATAGTTCATGTGTTTCTAGAAATCTGTCCATTTCTTCTGTGTTATCTAACCTCTGAGAGTAAAGGTTTTGAAATAGGTATTGATGATCTTCTGTATTTCTAGATTCTGTAGTGATTTCACCTTTTTAATTCCCTATTGCATGAGTTTGAGCTTTTACTTTCCCCTTTTTAATAAGGTTGGCTGGGGCTTATCAATTTTATTTATTCTTTCAAAGAACCAATTCTCTTTGGATGTTTTCTTAGTCTCTATTGCATTAATTTCTGCTCTGATTTTTATAATTTCCTTCCTTCTTTTGGCTTTGGGCTTGGCTTGCTCTTCTTTTTCTAGATGTTTGAGGTGTAGTATCAGGTTATTTATTTGTATTCGTTCTGTTTTCCTGATGTGGGAACTCAGTGCAATAAATTTTCCTCTGAGGACTGCTTTCATTGCATCCCACAGATTCCAGTAAGTTGTATTTGTATTTCTGTTTGCTTGTAGGTATTGTTTAACTTTCTCTGTGACCCACTGGTTGCACAAGAGTGTCTTATTCAATTTCCATGTGTTTGTGGAGTTTTTGCAGTTTCTTTTATTATTGATTTCTAGTTTCATGGCACTATGATCTCATAACATGTATGGGATAATTTCAGTTCTTTTGCATTTACTTATATATGTTCTGTGTGCTAGTATATGATGTATTTTAGAGAATATCCCATGTCCTGCTGAGAATATATATTCTTATCTTGTTGGATGGAACACTCTGTATATGTCTATCAAGTCCATTTGTGCACAGGCGTGATTCATTATTGTTATTTCTGTGCTGATTTTCTGTCTGTTTGATCTGTCCCTTTGTGTCAATGGTGTGTTAAGATCTCTTGTTATAATTGTGTTATCGCTTATTTGATTTTTCATTTCTGTTAATACTTGCTTTGTATAGCTGTTTGCATTGAAATTTGGTTAGATATATTTAAGATTTTGTATGTCTTTCTCTTGAAGTTTTCCCCTAATTAGTATGTAGTGATCTTTATCTCTTCGGATCATTCTTGGTTTGAAGTTCACATTTGCCTGCAAACAGAATAGCTACCCCTGTTTTTTGGGGAGGGGGGTTCCTTTGCATGAAGTATTATTTTCCATCCTATGATTTTCTGTCTATGAGTTTCCTTTTGGGTTAGATGGGTTTCTTTTTTTAAAATTTTATTTAAAGAGAAAAAGAAAAAAAGAGCAGAAAAAGGGTACAAGTTATACAGAA